GGGCGGTGCTGAAGGGCTTTTGCCCTTCAGCGGTGCCAAGTTGACTGTCGGTATATCGAAGTGTTGAAGTGCTTGTACAGTAGGGCTACGATGGCTATTTGAGTACAGAACCAGAGTACGAATCCTATCCAATTGCAGAGAGGTGTAAGACAGGGTGACGTCATATCCCCGAAACTCTTCACCGCTGCATTGGAAGACGTTTTCAAGCTTATGGACTGGAAAGGATACGGTATCAACATCAATGGCGAGTACATCACTCACCTTTGATTTGCCGACGATATAGTCCTTATGGCAGAATCGCTGGAGGACCTAAACACTATGCTCAATGACCTCGATAGTGTTTCCCAACGGATAGGTCTTAAGATGAACATGGACAAAACAAAGATCATGTCCATGTCACACCTATGCCGGTAGTTGTTGGGAGCACTAAGCTCGAAGTTGTTGACGAGTATGTTTACCTGGGACAAATAGTCCAACTAGGTAAGTCCAACTTCGACCGAGAGCTCAATCGACGGATTCAACTCGGCTGGGCAGCGTTCGGGAAGCTACGACACATCTTCTCGTCAGACATACCTCAAAACCTGAAAACGAAATTGTACAACCAGTGCGTGTTGCCAGTGATGACTTATGGAACTGAGACGTGGTCCTTCACTGCTGGCCGTATGAGGAAGCTCAAGGTCGCTCAGCGAGCTATGGAGAGGGCTATGCTCGGAGTTTCTCTGCGTGATAAACTTAGGAATGAGGATATCCGCAGTAGAACCAGAGTAACCGACATAGCCCAACGGATTAGTAAGCTGAAGTGGCAGTGGGCCGGCCATATAGCTCGAAGAACCGACAACCGATGGGGAAGAAAGGTTCTCGAGTGGCAGCCTCGTACCGGTAGGCGAAGTGTAGGGCGTCCCCCCACGAGATGGAGTGACGACCTGGTAAGACATGCAGGAAGTCGATGGATGCAGGTGGCTCAGGACCGTGCTTTGTGGCATTCTTTGGGGGAGGCCTATGTTCAGCAGTGGACTTGTGAAGGGCTGTAATGATGATGATGATGATGTACGGATCAGGTCTTTTCCATGCGCATGATCGCCGAGAAGTTTTTGGCCAAAAACCAAAAAGTTTTTTGTGCGTTCATGGACTTGGAGAAGGCTTATGACAGAGTGGACAGGGATGTGTTATGGCAAACACTGAACTCATTTGGGTTGAGCGCTGGTCTGATACAGGCATTGAAGTCTCTATATAGGGACTCTAGTGCTTGTGTCAGGATCAACGGGGCCTACTAGGACTGGTTTGACATCCATAAAGGTGTCAGACAGGGCTGTGTGGCTTCCCCGTGGTTGTTCAACCTATTTATGGACAGTTGTTTGGAAAATTTGAAAGTAGAAGAATGCGGGTTAAGAATGGGTGAGTTAACTAACCGTCAAATGCCTTTTGTACGCCGATGACCAAGTCATACTTGCGTCGTCGGCAGCCGAGTTGCAAATGATGGTTACATTAATGAACAGGACATTAAAAGAAAAGGGAATGAAAGTGAACGCAAGTAAGACGAAAGTTATGGTTTTTGAAAGAGAAGAAAGTAAAACGATATGTGAAATAAGAATAGAAGGGGAGTTGGTAGAGCAAGTAGATGAGTTTGTATATTTTTTTTTTTTGTATGTTTCGCTGTTTCCCTCTGACATGGAGGTCAGAGACATTTTTAGCTTGACACGGACTTTGAATTCTAAGTTTTATTTTATATCTTGTCCTTTATATTATAGAGGATGTAGAGAACTCCGGGTTTTCGTTCGGGAGTCCTACTACTCTTAATCTAGTTCATAGCAATATTACATAGCTTTTACTTATTGATACCTCTATATATATATATTACACAGAGATCAGGGACTTTTCCTTATTTAGGTTCTTTTTTCTTATTTTACATATATCTAACATCCTTAATACATTTATATCTACATTTATCATTTTGCTTTGATCTACTTTTTTGCTAGATTGGTGGAGCTGTTTACATTATATTCTAAAATATAATTTACAAATCCTTTTATACTAATTTTATTTATTCCTCTTAATTACCTTATTTGCTATTAACTTACAATAATTCAAAAACCTACTTCTATTGTGCTTATTACTTATTATTTGACATATATTATCCTTATCTACTTTTATTCCTAATTCCATTTCTATGTTATTCCTTTCCTTATTATACATGGGACATACTGTTATTATGTGCAATACAGTTTCTTCTTCATTTGGATCACAGGGACATGCCGGGCTCTCCCGACACTTGAACCGATGCAAATATTGTGAGAACCCGCCATGTCCTGTCATCACTTGTACCATTAGTGGGTCTATTGTTAGCTTTCTTATAATAGGATAGGCGCTTATGCTATTTGGGAAAAATGTCTTTGTTACAGAGGCCGTCTCGCCTTCCATGTAACGTCGGTTCCATTCGTGAAGTGAGTCTTGTCGGATCTGTCTCTTGACGAATGAAACCGGGCACTTGTCATATTCCGGTTTTCTTTTTATTTTTAATGCGGCTTCTTTTGCTAATTGATCTGCTCTCTCGTTTCCCTCCAATCTTGCGTGTGCCTTAATCCAAAATAGTTTAATAGATTTACCTTGTTTTTGTGCTTCCGAAATATTTTTTCTAATTTTTGCCGCTAGGGGATGGAGAGAAACGGTCTGGACAACTGTCTGGAGAGCAGATCTTGCGTCGCTATAAATATTGCAACTCTTGGCCTGATCCTTAAGTGCGTGGTTTGTAGCCTCAAATATGGCCAGCAACTCCGCCTGGTAGACTGTGCAGAAGTTTTCCAACTTTAATTTTCGGGTACTAGTCTCCGCTGCGTCATTCCATATAGATAACGCAGCGCCGACTTTCCCCTCGATCTTGCTGCCATCCGTGTAAATTTTGAGACTTTTATTATCATGTTGTTCAACTTGTGCACAGTCCTCCAGGCATGTAAATTGCAGCCCAACCTGATTCGCGGGGTGAGGTGTTTTACAGTATTCTACTTTTCTCTCCACATCTCGATCCCCTACCACTCGCTGGGAGAAGCCTTTCCTTATTTCATAAAGCAAGGCTGCTTCCCGAACTCTTAGGTCCAGGGGAAGCAGCCCAGCGAGCAGCAGGGCCGAGTGTAGTGATACGGTTCTATAAGATTTTATAATTTTCTGAACGAACCCCCGTTGTACCATGTCGAGCTGCTTTTTGATTTTTAGCTTGTATGTTGTCGGTGCCCATACACTAGCCGCATACAAAATAATTGGCTCCGTCACCGCAACGTAAATGGTCCTGAGTTTGTATATTTGGGATGTGTGTTTAGCAGGGATGGTAGATATGATAAGGGTATAGAACGACGAGTGAATGCAGGAAATAGAGTGAATGGGGCTCTACACTCTATTGTGAAAAGTCAGAATGTGTCCAAAAAGGCACGTATGGCAATTCACAATGCTGTGTTAGTACCTACTTTAATGTATGGTAGTGAAAGTTGGGTGTGGCAGAAGAAGCATGAGAGTAGAATAAATGCTGTAGAAATGCGGTCATTAAGGAGTATGTTAGGGATGAAGCTGAATGACAGAGTGAGAAATTGTTTAATAAGAGAAGAGTGTGGTTTGCAAGATGATGTTGTGACCAGGATTAAGAAAGGAATGCTTCGGTGGTTTGGCCATGTAGAAAGAATGAATGAGGAAAGAGTGACAAAGCAAATTTATGTTGCAGAGGTGAACGGCATAGTCGGGAAGGGTCGCCCTAGGCGAAAGTTTATCGACCAAATTGGCGATATATTAAAAATGGGCCAAATCAAGAGTACCTTTAACCGACGAGCGTGTATGCGTAGGTATATGGATGTGGAGGAAGCGAGAGAGGTGTGTCAGGATCGTGCCAAATGGAAGTCCATAATTTCTGCCTACCCCTCTGGGTGACAGGCGTGAGTGTTTATGTATGTATGTTTATGTATTATACACGGTGTTTTTACACGTAATGTTTAAAAGATAAACAAACATTACTCATAATATTACGGTCGTTGGTGTAACCACTGCAAAAGGTGAGCTTGCGTCATCGATACGCCCACTGTGAATCAGTATTATATGAATCAATACAGGCGATATACTACATATTAATTAGGTCAAAGCAGAGCCACGTTTGTATAGTGATTATGTTAACTTTACGCATTTTATAACGTTTGTTTTAAACTCAATTTTACTCACCGACGCTTCGAGTAGCTACTTGGCTACACCTATACTAATTGTATTGAGTTTTTTTTTTATAGAATAAGGGTGACAAACGAGGGAAGTTCAACGCCTTGATATCGAATTTTGTCAAAGTAAAATTATCAATACAGATTGTACACACTACTGGGAATGAGGTGGTCGCTTCCATGCTATGTATTTATTTTTTATTTTATAGCATAAGGGCCTGATAATCGAGCACACAGTCCATCTGATGGTAAGTGGGTGCTGTGGCCCATAGACATCTACAGACTAAGATGGAATACTTCGTTTCTATTAAAAAGAGTCTCCGCTTCTTTAAATTCCTAACGAAACACAGCAGCATTAAGCTGTTATTTTACGCTGGTATTCTGTGAGAGCGTGGTTCTTCCCCGGTTGAGCCGACCCATTCGTGCTACAACTATACTACTAATATAGCTGCAGCATGGCTCTACCACGTAAAAAGTAGCTTAGTAAGTTTGTAACGTAGTCGGGAAGTTGGTAGTGTTTCACCTCCGTCCCTCGGAAAGCACGCCTTTGGTACTGTGCCCGATTTCTCTCCGGTCGTTTCGGATTAGCGTCCCATTTGAATTTCCGAAATCCGGATTGAGGAAATAAAGAGTGCATCTGGTCCTCCGCAGACGGCTCGTCTCCGTTGAGACTCATCGCTGTACCAGAAATTCGGTCTGGACTATATTATTTTAAAACATGCGACAAAATATGAGAAGTTGAAATAAAAGTCATAATACTTATAAAAATATTTATTAAAAAACTTAAGCAAAAAAAACTAAAAAGAGATAAATAAATCACTGAAAGTCAGGACTAACGTAAATCCCGATATCGTAACTGAGCCCCTTCCCCCTTTCGCTTTTCATCCTCAGGTTGACAAACGAGTGACCTACGCCACCCGCAGTTATATTGACTGAAGCCTTACTGTGCAGGTTGTCCAACACTTGGATGCCCTGGAACGATGAGAATTTATTTAATGAGAGCTAATAATTTTCTGCTCACCAGATGTCGCTAGTTGACACTGAGGTAAAGTTTTTGTTACACAATCTCATTTAATTCAGAAGTTAGTTTTAAATAAAAGTTTATCGGTTTCTACTTTCTAGAGTATTATATTAATACATAAAACAATGCCTCAGTGGTTTGCTCTTTAATTTTTTGCATTTTTTTAACTTTTTCAAATTTTTCTACTTTTATGAATATCTGTGGTTTGGTTTATTTATTTTTAATATTATTGATATAAAATAGAGATGATAGTACAGAAAGAAGCCTTAACCTTTACATTTTCCGAACAAATTAACTTCCCCGCTATGTAATCTGTCAAATATTATACCTCACTTTAAGTGGCGCCGCCCTGGTGGCAAAAAAGTCGTGGACGACGGCTTACAGCAGTGGTCAGTAGAGACTCCTGTTCCGTATTCCGTCTGGAGAAGTACTACGCTTTTACCTATTTCTACTGCCAAATACTAGTGTGCGCACTGTCGTGTTGCGATAGGAGAGACCCAGTTTGACTACAGGCTGTGAGTTATTCCATCTTGGTCCTCAGAGGGGACAATGCATCTACAGTTTTCTTTATATTAAACGAGTAAGGGAGTAGGGAGTGCACCTGTGCTTGCGCATACCAACGCAGGTGACTATTCTCCGTTGAACTGGCCGCCGTGGCCAAAATTCATTATTACAGACATTGTAAGCCTTCCTTATATCACGTTTATTGCAAGTGTGCATGATCTGCTCAAGCTACTTATCACCATTATGTAAACTATAAGTCAAAACCACTACTGAAGAAGGCCTCCCCCACAGACTGCCTCACTTGTCATATTTGCTACACTTAACAGGCGGGTCTGCAACCGCAATTTTCTATTATTTTCAGTGGTTATGAGGAAGATGCTGCAGCCCAACTCCCATTTCATTTCCCTCTGCCTCTATCTAATTCTTTAAGGCCGTCAAAAAAACTGCACTTGCCAACTACTTAGCATGGTAAGCGTGGCAACTATAGCAAATATTATACCCTACCCACATCTATGAGGAAGACCTGTGTCCAGCAGGAACTTTGATATGATGTAATGAATGATTAAGTTGCAACGTTAGTCATGTAGAATGTAGATGACTATATCGAGCCAGGGTATATGTAAACGTAAAAGGAAACGTGTTCCATGCCTCTAAATCTACGTCAGCTATGAGCTTGTGAGTAGGTAATACTCGTAACATTATAATGATTGAATCATTGAAATTGTGCAAGTTTCTTGTATCAAAAATGTGCAATCAATAATTGAATGCTATTAATTGGACGCAATTTGCCATTATGTACATTACATTAGTAGCTGTTTACATGAAGTTGATACATCTTATCTTGACAAACGAGCACACAATCCAGCTGATGGTAAGTGGATACTGTGGCCCTCTCAATTAAGAATCAAAATGCTTATGCGTTGTAACCTCTGAGGACTAAGATGGAATGCCCCATTTCCAATAAAAAGGGTTTGTTTAGATTATCTTGAATGCTCGTATTGTACAAAAGTTTAGATAAGTAATTATTGCAACATCTGTTTGTTTACACCACGAACATTTTTGAACTAAGAGAATTGCTTTTTAGTATTGACTTGTGCAAACACTTGTACTCGTACCTTTATTGATGAGTTACTTCTTGCAATACTTAATGAATACTTGATGAATATACTAAACAGTAAACAGTGTTATTTTTCAAAGAGAAGTGTTTCCAAATTTTGAACCTAAGTTCAAATACATAAATAATGATATACCGTCATTGCAGTTTTTGAAAATACAAGTAAACGAGGCTTCTACTTTTTTTTTAAATTATTCTAATTTGAATGTGATTTATGAGCAACAACGTTTTTGCCTACCGATCGACTCTTACGAATGTCTGCGTGCACAGTAGAATCAGTTAAAATAATGCATTACCAAGCATTTTGAATTTAAAAGATAAAAGGGACAGAATTTTTAAGATTTTGGAACGAAGTTGCTTGTTGGACGGGGCTCGGAATTTTGCGGATAGGGGCTAGACGAAAAAAAGTGTAAGATTTTTCCGTCACGACCCCTTCTGACGTAGTATAGACGGCCTTAGCGGCTATAAGGAAGCGAGATGGAATAATATCCATCTTCCTTGCCCTTTTTCTTATCTGATGAAAGAAATATTTTTTTAATGACACTTCATTTTAATAGACGCTAGTAATTTCTTTATTTGCATTTGTTAATCAAAAGTATAATACGTTTATCAATAATAAATTTGTTCCAATTAAAAATGTTAATAGCCCTAAACGTCATCCCCCATGGTTTAATAAAGTGCTCATTGCAAGACTAAAAGAAAAAAAGAAAATTCGGCTTAAGTATAAAAAATATAGTAACCCTTTAGATGAAATTGAACTACAAATTTTAAGTCATAGATGCGATAAGTTAGCTAAAGAGTGTTATAATAATTATATTGTTAACATAGAGAGAACGATTAGGCAAAATTCAAAATACTTTTGGTCATTTATCAAAAACAAACGTGGAGGGTCTAGTACCTATCCCAGGTCTGTGAAAGATGGTATTACTATAGCAAACAATGGCCACAGCATTTGTGAATTATTTGCTGCAACTTATTCGAGGGTCTATGGTGAAAATCCAAAAGAAGGACCCCATTCTGAATTTGAAAATCTTAGAATCATTGCTAATGGGAGTTCATGTTTTTCCAGTCTTACCGTTGATCTCAATGTTATTGTTAAGAAACTCAAAACTTTAGATATTACTAAAGGTACTGGTGCCGATGGATTAGCGCCAATATTTCTTAAAAACTGTGCTGATAGTTTAGCTTTTCCTTTGTGTAAAATTATAAATAAGTCATTTATTACTGGAGTGTTTCCAGATCTGTGGAAGCTTGCAAAGGTAGTACCAGTCTTTAAATCAGGTGATATTAGTATTGTTTCGAATTATCGGCCAATCTCGATACTTTCTACATTAGCCAAGCTTCTTGAATCAATCGTTTGTCCTTATATTCAAACCTATTTTCGACAATTTATTACTGACTCTCAGCACGGTTTCGTGAAAAATAGATCAACTTTAACTAATCTTGTAACTTTTGTCGAAGATCTTGTAGATGCCATTGACAATAGAAATCAAGTTGATGTTATCTATACTGATTTTAGCAAGGCATTCGACAAAGTTTCACATTCAATTTTGCTAAGAAAATTGAGCTCCTATGGATTCACAGGAAAGATTTGGGATTGGTTTAAGTCTTATTTAAGTAACCGTTCCTTCTATGTAGTCTTGGATGGGTTTAAATCTGATACTTACGATATAACATCTGGTGTGCCTCAAGGATCACATATTGGGCCCATACTTTTTAACATTTTCATTAACGATATAACTGATAGATTTATCTACTCTAAACCTTATCTTTATGCAGACGACTTAAAGATTTCTCGTAAAATTGTTGATGATTCTGACGTAGTACTATTGCAATCTGATTTAAATAGACTGTCACACTGGTGTAAAAATAACTCAATGAACCTAAATGTAAATAAATGTTTTCATATTAAATTTTCTCGAAATCATAACTTTATAAGCTCGCAATATATAATAGGTGATTCTATTTTAAGTGAAGTAGATACTGTTTTAGACTTAGGGGTAGTGTTTGACCGCAAATTGACATTTATTCCACATTATGATTATGATCATAATGTGGAATAAATGTCAATTTGCGGTCAAGAAAGCATCGAAAATGTTAGGATTTATTATAAGAAACGGTAAAATTTTTCGCAGTTATCAAACAAAAAAAATATTATATAATGCCTTTATTCGTAGCACTCTTGAGTATTGTAGCGTAGTATGGACACCGCACTATGCTACCCATTATTTGCGGCTGGAAAGGATACAGAAGAGATTTCTTTGGCACCTGGCATACTCTTCTGGAATGGGACAAACGGGCTTCTCTTACTCTTACTCCCACAGACTAAAACATTTTAACATGGACTCTCTTGAAAAACGCAGAGCTATTATCGACCTAACTTTTATTTTCAAAATTATAAGAAGTCAAATAGACTGTCCCCAACTTCTAAGTTACTTTAAATTTAGGGTACCCAGGACACTCCCGCGTGCTCCCATTCTTCCCCTTGCCCCTCCATTTCGTAGGACTGTGCTTGGTAACAACTCTCCTGTAGCTAGGTTAAGTAAACTTTATAATGGGGTCAGTAGCCGGACAGATATAAATTTTGTTTCCTCGTACAAGTTTCGCAAGTACTTGTTAGATACAATTTCAAATTAAGTTTTTTTTTTGTATCTTTATTATACATAATATCTATATCACTGGTTGTTTTGTTTCAAAATGTTTTAATTATATTTTTTTTTCTTAACATAATATGTAAATTAAGATTTTAATTATGGTTTAGCGGTGTTTACCTGTAAGTAATTGTGCAATTAGTATAAGACTTTATTATACATTTAGATTTAGTATGTTAAATTGTAACAATTGTAGGTAGACCTTTTTTAAATAAATAAATAATATACACTACGAAAGGAACTTCGTTCCAACCGAATGTTCCACGACACTCATGCATGTTGTTTTTTTTTATTAATTTTTCTTCACCCTTTGCTTATATTACTTATTTTGAACCTTCTCTACAAATTTAGCCGATAATTGCATAATAACCCCGTATGTACTTGATGAATATACCATATATACTTGATGAATAAAAATTGGCGGCTGCAAGTATTTGCGGAACCATACGAAACACAGCAGCATAAAGGTGCTATTTCACGCTGGTATCCTGTAAGAGAGTGGTCCTTCCCCGGTCGAGCCCACCCGTTCCCGCTACAACCATAATATAGATGTAGTTTTTAAACAGTAAAGTAAACCTATAAATGTCCCATTGGAAATTACGATACATCTCGTCAGATATACCTCTAAACCTGAAAACGAGATTTTACAACCAGTGCGTGTTGGCAGTGATGACTTATGGATCTGAGACGTGGTCCTTCACTGCTGGCCGTATGAGGACGCTCAAGGTCGCTCGATGGAGAGAGCTATGCTCGGGGTTTCTCTGCGTGATAAACTTAGAAATGAGGGTATCCGCAGTAGAACCAGAGTGATCGACATAGTCCAACGAATTAGTAAGCTGAAGTGGCAATGGGCCGGCCATTTAGCTCGAAGAACTGACAACCGATGAGGAAAAAAGGTTCTCGAGTGGCAGCCTCGTACCGGTAGGCGAAGTGTAGGGCGACATCCCACTAGATGAAGTGACGACTTGGTAAGACATGCAGGAAGTCGATGGATGTAGGTAGCTCAGGACCGTGCTTTGTGGCATTCCTTGGGGGAGGCCTGTGTTCAGTAGTGGACTTGTGAGGGGCTGTAATGATGATTATGATGATGATGATTAGGATTGGTATAATTTCTAAGAGGTATTTAAACAAGTTTAAAAAATGATTTTTAAACAAAAATTATCTACAATGTAATAAATGATTTGTGTTCAATCATTTAGTATTCTTAAGAACGGATGGCGACTTCAATAACCTACTTTACAGCAATTAATAAATGTGAGTAATGCACATCATTAACACAAAATAATTTTAAACAAAGAGAATACAAAAGTGGTCATAACACTATCGTTAGGTATCAGATTATGTATTTGAGAAAACAATTATTGACTATGATGATATCGTCATTTTGCGATTTTTGTTTTTATTTTAAACTATTGTACCCATTAACTAACAAAACTTTTTTTTTTTTAATAAAATGACTTCACCAGATGGTAACTGGATGCTGTGGCCCATAGACACCTACATCTATTCTCGATTAAGAATCAAAATTATAAAGATAGACTGCCTCATTACACAGTAAAAGGACCCCCGGTTCTGATAATCACCATACAGCAGCATTAAGCTAATATTTTACGCTGGTATTCTGTGAGAAAGTTTCCTACACCAATCGAGGCAATTCATATTATAGCTGCAGCGTGGCTCTACCACGTACAAACACTTAATTATTAAACATTATATATTGATTGTATAATATAAAATAGTGCATATTAAGAGTTCCTTGTCACAAATACATAAAAATTGCATTCTATTGCTATGTTCGTTAATTTTAAACACTGTGAGATTACAACCAGTACTCGCAGGTTCGAGTCCCGCACGGTTGATTGGTATTCTTTAAGTTATTTTAAACTCTAATATTATTCTCATCACGAGGCATTCCATCTTAGTTGTTTGTGTTGATAAAGGCATCTCTGAAATTTAATTCTTACTCCAGGATAGTTGTACTTATAGGTGTCTATGGCCACAGCATCCACTTACCGGGTGGACTCTGTACTCATTTGTCACCATTAATTATTTGAAAAAATCAGTAACAATTCTTACAAAAGTATATAAGCCAATCGATATGTATAAAAGAAGATGTCCTGTACGTTACATCTTGGACGCGGGTAGTAGTAATGAAATAGAACTTATACATTACCTGTATTTTTTTATTATCCGGTGAAGAAAAGAAGTAATATTTCACCCTCTTCATAAAGGGAAACGCGTTGTACTCCGCCGTCGCGTGGTCAGCAAGCACCACTCTGTCCGCCACATTGCCCACCACTAAGTGGTCACCATCCGCACAGTACAACGAAATGGTCAACACGAATAGTAAAATAATGGCCCTCATGTTTGCACGGATTGCACGCTTGATACACTTTGCGATCTATACGATATTGATTCGAAAGGTCGCTCAGTTTATCTTAAGTTTCGTAAAACCTGTGTTGCTAGGTTAAGTCAATTACCAGATTTTTGTGGTTTATTTCAATAAGTACGATCTTCAGCGTTTTATATATTTTTATTAAATAAATTGTCTTATGTTAGTCTGGAACTTATACTGGCAAAAAAAAGTGTGCCAACTACATGTCTTGCCTATCATGTCGTAAAAGGCCACTGATAAGATATTGAATTTGTGATTGTGTAAGCAATGGATTTTCATCTAGCTAACATCTACTTATCTCGTCATCTACCGTAATCCACAAGATCGTTCTAGAAGATCCCTTAGACGATATTTGCGACACCCATGGGAGGGAAAAGGGTAATAGTATTTTTTTAGGCTGCCACAACACGGCAGCAGACTTTCACCTGATTAACCAATCCAATTGCTTTTTTACTTCATTGAGACGTCTATATTTATATAGTAGTCTGATTACCAGGTTTGTGTCGTGTAGAGGAGGGTGGGGTAAGAAAATCGTAATTTCATTCCGTGGGTGTTGTAAGAGGCGACAGAGAGAAAAAAAGTAGGAGATGGGCAGCAACATTTTCTTCCTCAACATAAAAATTACGATTGACGCGCCTCCTGCAAATTGTGGCAACTACGCTCGGCAACAGACTTAAATAGTAAATGAATTAATGAAAGATATTAGTTAAGTTATAGTCTCATTAAGAATCTAATAATTACCTATAACTCATTGTGCACTTTGTTCTAGCTTCTAAGCCGTAACAATTAAGATATTTATTGATGTTACATTCATGTGAATTCTATCGATAAAGATTTATTAAGAAATTACAACTTATTAAGGTTATAAATGTTAGTAAGTAAAAAAATGGATAATTTTGTGTGATGTTTATTGAATTTTACTACACTTTTAAAGTAAGATAGGTTAATGTATGCTCTTTTGACGAATAGGCCATCACCTCGCTTTCCCTCTTCGCTCTAAATGTAGAACAAAGAGCTATAATGGTAGGGGGTAGGGGTGGTAGTACGTAACATGTCTATTAAGCACATGGTTTAGCTGTATGTTATTGGTACAGTACCTGTCCCTCTCCTTAAGATCTTTTTTTATATAATAACAAACGAGCACACAGTTCTCTTGGTGGTAAAAGGAAGCTGCGGCCTATAGACATCTACATTTCTCCTTGATTAAGAATCAAAATGCAGATGCATTATCACCCCTGAGGACTAAGATGTAATGCCTCGTTTCCAGTAAAAAGGGTGTCCTCTACACTCACAGCACAGCAGCAGCACCGACCACCGGCACAAGACCCCGGTTGAACCGACCCATTCGTGCTACAGCCATAACATAGCGGCAGCGTGGTTCGGCAGCGTTGATCTACGCTAAAATGTTAATCCTCGACTAAAAGCTGTTTGAATAGTTTAATGTGGCAAATTTGAGACGGTTATCATATCATCTGTCAAAAGTTACGTCATATCCTCGGCGTAACGGATAGTGAATTTTTACGAAGGCTATGTGAATTGATATGGATAAGATATTGGCTTACCTATATACCTACAGCAGTAAATACTTTTTCAAAAGTAAACTAGAAAACTACTTCACTTTACTAAGTAAAAGTTAACTAAAACCTAGCCAATACAAAGAATTTCTACTGTGGTACATATATAGATGGTCTGTGTGAGCTTCAAGCCCACGGTGTAACCATACGCTTAAAAACCGCGTCACCGAAAAGTAATAGAAATTATTACCCATAACTATTTAAATTCATCCAGTAAATTACTTATATAAAATTTAAATGCAAACTATGGCAACACTCGAAATAGCATTACGCATCGTACATAGTGATCTAACACAGATTTGTAAGTTGAGGAAAATTATTGTTATTCATCATTGTGATATTAAAATTTCCGAGGTATGAGTAAATAAATAGTAAATGTATGAGCTGGAAAAGACGGTTATTGCAAATTTTTACACCTAAGGACAAATAGTACCTAGAAAGTCCACCGGATTATAATATGTCCACAGCTTCTACAAAATAGAAAACAGGTCCTGTTCTCTATTAAGTGGACGCTGTGGCCCAGACACACCTAGAACTATCCTCGATTTAGAATGGAAACGCAGAGGTTTTTACCACCGAAGACTAAAAGTGAATAGCTTTGTAACCAGTAAAAAGGGTCTCCGTTTTTCGTCACTCACCATACGAAACAAAGCAGCATTATTTATTTATCTATGTTAACTTTTATGCACAAAAATAGTACATATGCGGACCTAATGCCTATACTATTCATTATACTGCTGTCTCTCTTTATAGGATACGGTGACAAACGAGCACGCAGTCCACCTGATGGTAAGTGGTTGTTGTGGCCCATAGACATCTACATCTATCCTCGTTTGCGAATCAAAATGGAGATGCGTTGTCACCCGTGAGGACTAAGATGGAATGCCTCTTTTCCAGTAAAATGGGTCTCCGGTTCTCTACACTCACCATACGAAACACAGCAGTGTTAAGCTGCTATTTTAAGCTGGTATTCTGCGAGAGCGTGGTCCTTCCCCGGTCGAGCCGACCCATTCGTGCTACAACTATACCAGTAATATAGCTGCAACATGGCTCTACCACGTAAAAATATTATTGGTAGATATACAATAAGAGCGTGATGCTTCCTCGTTTGAGCCTTCCCATTCGTGCTACATCCATAACATAACATTAACTGCTCCGTGGCGCAGTGGCTTTGCAATGAGTTGCTGCGCTGGGGGCCGCGGGTTCGAATCCCGCACGGAACATGTATTTATATGGCCTACAAATAATTGTTCCGGGTTTGGATGTTTGTCCTTGTGCAATTTGTGTTTGTAAACTGCCTCCACGATACAGGAGAAAATCCTAGTGTGGGGGTAACGTTTTAAAAAAAGAAAAAAACCACGCATAAATGAAATGTGTTACATAAAATGATAACCACGTCTACCATATGAGAGTTACGATTCGGGGCGACTCATTCATTACAATTTTTTTTATTTTCGGCTCTGGATAAGTGACTACTTCCCGTTCGCCTCTGCATCCTAGATTTCTAGAATACCTGTAATCTTATCTCGTAAGAAGTACACCAAGTATTAAAAATGAAAACAAATGGCGTCCATAAGAAAAAAAAATATTAAATACAAATCTGTTTTTACAATTTCGAAGAATAACTACAAAATTAAAATACTCTACAGGAAATCGAAGTATATATTTTTTAATTTTTAGTTACGTTATTTAAAAAACGTAACAAAAATACGTAATAATATTATATCTTTATAACTTTAATTAATTGTTTAATCTAATATAACTAACAAATTTGTTTATTAACTTTAGTTCAGTAAGTAACTTATGTTAGGCACATGGCTATAAAATATAACAAATATTGTAATTTTGTAAGTCAACACCAAATGTACCTATAACACTCAACTTACAATAAATAGTTTAAATATGAATTTTAATTTGCACATTAGAATGACTGCCTTCTGAAGATTTATTACTCTCCGTCCCTTCATAGAAATGCACTAGGATTAATTACTCAATACCCAGACTCTACAGACTATTAAATACGTTATGGTATTAGATAATAAGCATGACTCCTTTATGGCTACACTCGTAAAGATAAATCATAGCAATTTTAGATTGTCGGTACACAGTGTCGTAGCGTGCCTTACACGGGACCTGTATCTTTGTTGGGGGCTCATATGAAGGGTGGTGATTTTTTACAAAAGGAACAAAAATGCTCGCATTGAATTAAAATAATTATATTATATTGATTATAAGTTATTACTTAGCATTAACACGTGTAGTGGCGGGTAAGAATACCCACTACCCCATATCTTCCAGTGGGTGTCGTAAGAGGCGACAGAGGGAAACTGAGGCAGAAGATAGGAAGCAGCATCTTTCTGATAAAAGCAAAAATCAATAAAAAAACTGCGGTTGCCAACCCGCTTGCCAAGCGTGGTAACTATGGCAATATACCCCCTATGAGCAGTGACACTAATAAACGGTTCCCCCAGTTCCCGGCAACGACCATGGTAACGGCGGAGCAGGGGGTGCTAAGAATCTCCGGTGGAGGTTCGGTTGCCACCTACGACGACTCGACCTGGCAACTTATAACGCGCGCACACTGTTGGTTGACGAGAAGATCCTGCAGCTGGAAGAAGAGATAGACAGGTTGCGCTGGAATATTATAGGATTATCCGAGGTCCGAAGAGAGAGGCTCTTCGGACCTCCAGGACACGGTAATCCTCGAATCCGACAACTTGTTCTATCACCGGGAGGGCGATCATCTGTCCCAAAGAGGTGTCAGATTTATCGTCCACAAGTCTCTCGTTAACAACGTTTTAAAAATTGAGTGTGTCGACAAGGGTTGCGTACCTCATACTCAGAAACACCAAACGGAATTCGCTGAAGGTCATACAGGTTTACGCACCAACCTCGGCGTATCACGATGAGGGGGTGGAGGAAATGTATGAGGCTCTAGAGCTATGCATTCCTGCAAACCCCCCTATACGGTGTTAATGGGAGACTTCAACGTAAAACTAGGCACAAGAGAGAACGGTGAGCTGAAAGTAGGGAAATTCGGAATAGCAGAGTTCATGGAGAAAGAGGGACTCTTTATGATGAACTCTTTCTTCCAGAAACGGCCCCACAGGAAGTGGACCTGGTCTAGCCCCGACAGTTCGACAAAACATGAGATTGACTTCATTATGACGACTAGACGGCAACTGTTCAGTGATGTCTAAATGATCGCGAAGGTGAAAACTGGTAGCGATCACCGAATGGTTAGAGGCATACTGAACCTAAACGTTAAGTTGGAGAGGTCACGTCTAATGAAGTCAACACTCCGTCCCCCTCGTGCTATAATCCAAAGTCCCGAAACCTTTCAGCTCCAGTTACAAAACCGTTTTCAGTGCCTAGAAGATTGCAATGCAGTGGACG